CAAGTAAATCCCGGTAACTCTGGGTTTAAACTGCGAAAGGGGTTCTCTTTTCTGGATAAATTGTGTCAGCGCTACCGTATCCCTTCTTCCTTCTGAACGGGGAACCTCTGCTCAGGGCTTCGTCTAAGGAGACGTTCGAGTCCCCCATAATTACCAGATTGTCTGTATGAGGCCCTATCGTATCCAGATCTCGGAAGAACTTTGCACGCGGGGAAGGGCTTGAAGGTGCATACACCGTCATCATCAGTCACTCTTCTTGTCCCAAGATCAGTCTCACCCAAGCCCATCTCCCCCAGAGGTCTGTTTCAGCATCCACAATGTTCGCTTGTAGTGATCTGTGTAGGAGGATAGCTACCCCCCCTCCTGTGCCCTGTGTTGGCGCCCAGTACTGCGGACCATCCCACCACCCCTCTACTAGGTCCAACTTCTCCTCTCCCAGCTTCGTTTCCTGTAGGCATAGACAGTCCACTTTCTGTTTAAACATCCGCAAATTCACCCTCTTTCTCTTCTCTCTCCCTGTTGTGCCTCCCAGGCCCCTCACGTTCCACGTAGCTAGCTTCACCTTAACCATTTGTAGTGCCTTCTTCCGCTTGGTCTTGGATCCGGGAATTGTGTTCATCACCCCATCTGGGAGTTCTCTGGGCCGGGGACTGAAGCATCGGACTCGACCTTGAGCTCCCTCCTGAGCTGCTATGCTTGGATGCAGTCTGCCAACCCTCTACCAGCGACTCCATGATGAATCTGGAGCGTAAGTTACGACTGTCCGGTAGTTGCTCATTGACTTTCAGCAGCATAAGCGCAGAGACTTCGTCGGTCAGGGCAATTGCCTCCAGTTCGTGACTGTGGGCTTCCCTCACCGCATCCAAATGAAACCACTTAACACCCGCCTGTGTAAGTGTCTCTGCTGTCGGGGAATCTAAGCGCACATCCAATAGGGGGAAGTAAAACTTCAGAATCTTGTCCTGTAGCGGTACCATGCACCTGACCATCACTGACCTCGGAATAATCCTGATGGGGAATGTATCCCCAAACAGGAACTTTGTGCGGGTCAGAATCTCCCCGGGCAGCGGAGTTTTCACCATAGCCACCGACGGAAGGTACGGTCTTCCGTCTGTTTGTTTTAAGCCTAGAAAGAAAGCCGTGTTGCCCAACATTGTGCAGACCAGCGGCACCATTCTCCTTTCGATTGTACGCGGGTTGCCCCCCTGGTGGATTCTATAGCCCTGCTTACTAGTTGTATCTGAATCGGCTTCTCTCTCCCTTGGTTCCCCTGAACTGCCCGTAGACGACATGGATCCTTCAGCCCGCAGGAACCCTGGCCCTCCCAACGTCCTATCATCCCCAATGAAGTCACTGCCCATTACTACCCTTGACCTAGTGGAGGCCTAGTGACTGCCCACCTCCTGAACCCCCCCTCCTTGTGCTACTCCCCTGGGATCTACTCCTCCCCTCTGCTGTCTGATCTCGTTTTGACTCTCCCCATTCTGGGCTGCCGGCTGTCCCAATCTCGAATGGTTCCCACCATCTCCCTGCTGCCCTCCGTGCTGTGATAACAGAGGTACCTCCGCTAATCTGGTTAATACCCCCTGTTGCGGCCTCACTGGTACTGCTCGGATGACTGTGGGGGGGGCGTAGACCCCCTGAGACCCTGCTGCCTCCTCTCCTCCTTGGCCCTGTCCGGATCTGGTGTCTACAACATATTGTTGTGTGTGTCCCATTTGCTGATGCAGAGCCGATCCATACCTCTCTCCCCCCATGCCAGTCCATGGCTGACCAGGGCTTTCCAAATGTGGTACTTGCAACTGTGGTTGGAAGATTGGACCCTGGTCCTCATAGTACTGAACCGAAACCTGCTCTGTATAGACTGCCGGGGGAGGGGCCGACCAATTCTGTGTGCCCCTCTGAGGCGCCAGATGTGTGAGTTGATGCTGATGGTGCTGCTGCTGCTGCTGCTGCTGTTGCTGCTGTTGCTGCTGCTGCTGTTGGTACTGCTGCTGCTGCTGCTGCTGCTGCTGCTGTTGCTGTTGCTGTTGAATAGAGGGTTTGGAACTTTATTAAACAGTTCCAAGTGGTTGCATGATCTGCACGTGGAATTGGTTTGAAACTTTTTTTGAAACGCTTGAAACTTTATTAAACAGTATTTGAATCAGAGGGTTTGGTCTTCGAGCTTGACTCGTAAGCGAAACGTGCTGATGCTGCCAGGAGAACTCCGGGCCAGGAAACGACCTCATTCTGTATTCACTGTTTAATAAAGTTTAAAGTTTAAAAAAAAAAAAAAAAAAAAAAAAAAAAGCGGAAGAGAAAACTGAAAGTGGGCCCAATTCCACGTGTCACTGTTTAATAAAGTTTCAAGCTTTTCAAAAAAAAAAAAAAACCTTTTGGGTGTTAGTGTTTTAGTGTGCCTATCAGCACAAGTTTCTTTGCCAGGGAGGTCGGAGAGGAATTACTCCTACAAGGAGAGGAATTACTCCCACACATTTTCTTAGTTTTCTGTCGGTCTGTATTTGCACAGCTGTTTACGAGGATTTCCTCTGGCTGAAGGGTTTGCGTAGTTATATCGTTATTAGTTTGGCCACCTTTTATTGAGCTTCAAGTAAATTTTTTGAGAAGTTTTATTTCTGTTGAGAAGAGGGGTCCTGGGACTCTGGACCCGGTTTCCAGCAAGGTTCTTCGTGACTCCGGGTTGAATTGTGAGGTCCCCGGCCTCAGCCATTCCTTTTTGAATATAAAGTGACAACTTCTCAAAAAAAAAAAAAAAAAAAAAAAAAAAAAAAAAAAAAAAAAAAACCGGAAGAGAAACGTGAAAGCGGGCCCAATTCCACGTGTCTGGTGTCGAAAAGAGGAAAAACGAGGACGTTGGGCCCCCCTCCACTACTCTCCACATGCAAAAACGACAATAATCATTGTTGCGGTGTATCTCTCCAAGTTGTTGTCGCGGTGTATCTCTCCAAGTTGTAGCCGAAGAGTCATCTCGTTTTGCACATTTCGAGAGTAGTGAATGCCTCTTCTGCTCCTTGTCCCTTTCTGATACCATCCACGTGAAAATCATGCAAACCACTCTTTCTTTTTCTCAAAGAGACGAGCAAAAAAAAAAAAAGAAGGAAAAAAAAAAAAAAAGACGAGCACGTGAGAAGTTGAAGAAGACATGCTGATCAAATAGATTTAGCGGAAGAGTAACCGGAAAGCGGACCCCATTTCACGTATCGGGTGTCGAAAAGAGAAAAACGAGGAAGGTTGCCTTTTGCTCCACCACTCTCGAGGTGCACAAAAGACAAAAATCATGGAAGCGGTGTTTCTCTCCAAGTTGTAGTGGAAGATTCACTCTCGTTTTGCACATTTCGAGAGTAGTGGAGCGAGGCGCAAGGAAATGCTTCTTCTGTCCGGGAGCCTTACCCGGCTTCGCTTACAGAGGCCTAAAACCGGCCTCATAGGGTCTCGCTCCACTACTCTAGACTCTCGAAGATTTTCGAGAGTGAGTTTAGAGCTGTCAGACTCTAGAAAAGACTGAAAAAGAGATCATCGCTCCACTTACTCTAGAAGGTAGAACTGGAGAAACCCTCTCGGAAGTCAGACAGCTCTTTGAGAGAGCTACACGACACGGCCAGCAGGTTATTGCCTGCCCAGACTCGAGGTGCACTCCATAAAAATGCTCAACTTTCGAAGGTCCTCGCTGCCTCCCTTGAAATTCCCGCCGCTGCAGGCGGGCGCTCTCGAAACGTCAAGAGTGCCACGGGAGAGGACGTTCTGACAACTCACGAAAATTGTTTTCGTGAGTGTGTTTCATGAGGTAGTGGAGCGACGACGGATTCTTGCCATTTTCTTGAGTAGATACTGACAGCTCAAGAACCCGAGTTCCAGGCCTCGCGTCTAGAGTTAGTGGAGCGGTGCCGAGCTCAAGAAATGGCTGGTTTCTAGAGTAGTGGAGCGAGACCCATAATATCCTGTCCTCCTGATCTACTCTAAAATCCGACTTCCATTCCTTCGTGCCACAGCTACAACCTAACTATCCCTTCCTATCCGAAGTCTACTCAAGAGCTCAACCATGCTCCAATTCTCAAATTGGAAACGGTACCCGAATCAAGTACTAGTGCCAGGAGACAGAAGGGGGTATTGGAATTTGAAAGGATAGCAGATATGGACAGAAGAAAGGGACGCTGGACCCGCTTTCCAGCAGGCCTCACTGAGGTGCAGTTATTCTATCACCGGGTTGAAATGTGGAGGGATTCCTGGCCTCCTTTTGCACTATAATGAAATCAAGCTTTTCTTTCAAAAAAAAAAAAAAAGAAATGCTTCTTCTCCTTTTTTTTTTTCTTTTTTTTTTCCCCCTGTCGGATACCATCCTGAAAAGGAGTACTAGGTTGCATGATCTGCACGTGGACGATATCCGACAGGGACAAGGAGCAGAAGAGGCATTCCGAGGTCCCCGGCCTCGTCCCATTCTATTTTGTGCAATGAATTGATGCTTTCCAAAAAAAAAAAAAAAAAAAAAAAAAAAAGGAAGAGGCATTCCTTCAAGCCTGGCTCCACTACTCTCGAAATGGGCAAAACGAGAGTGAATCTTCCACTACAACTTGGAGAGACACACCGCGGCCATGATTTTTGTCTTTTGTGCATGTCCACAGTAGTGGAGCGAGGCGCAACCTTCCACGTTTTTCTCTTTTCGACACCCGATACGTGGAATTGGGCCCGCTTTCCGGTTTCTCTTCCGCTAAATTTATGTGATCGGCTTGTCTTCTCCACAACATTGCCATAGGGTACGCCTGTAGCCTGGGTTCCTCCCCGAACAGAGCACACCCTCACAAGGGAGCTGTCGGACCAGCTTCTCCCTTTACAGCAGTTGCCTGCGTTTTGTGATGTTGATGCACTGTGCTGGGGGCACACAGGCAGACTTCACCTCCGGCTGTGTATAAAGGCGCATTCACGGGCACTCTGCGTACAGTGCGCTGCGATCTGCTTACTAATCGTGGGCCGTCTTTGGGGATCGCAGGCGGGAGCTGCGAGAAGTGGCGCTATCTCTTCTTCCACGGCATTTCAGCCGAGGAGAGGGCGAGGGAGCTCAACTTGAAGGGGCGAACAGCTCCGGGAGCCGCGAAGTGGGGTGGTGTTATCTGCTGCCATCGCCGGAAGAGCTCATCTGTTGCTTGGCGCGCAGAGACAAGAGCAAGGTGAGGCGAAAGGCGAGGACGAAGAGCATCAAGCACTGTCGGGCTTTGCGGCGATGGTGGTCCTGCTGTTGCTGGGGCTTCTCCAGCTTGCCGTTCCCGGACTTGCTCAAACTCCGCCATCTGGTACGGTAAAGATCAAGAGCTTCAAATATGCTGGCTCTGGCTGTCCGCCTGGAAGTTTCCAGGGCGTAGTCTCCGACGACGTACAGACACTCACTGTCATTTTCAGCTCGGACACCTCAGATTCGGGTCCAGAGCGGAGATCCTGCCAACTCAGCGTCGGCCTGACCTATCCTGCTGGGTTCGCGTTTACTCTGGAGAGTGTGACATTCCGAGGGTCCTTCCAAGGCTCGGCTTCAGTGACAACCACGTACTACTTCTCAGGTATTCCAGGGACAGGCAGAGTCCAGCGCAGCCTGCCTCCTCCCGTGGAAGGCAACTTTGAGTTCACCGAGCAGTTCAGTACCTTAATCCATCCAGAGTGTGGCAGTGAGTCGGTGACGCTCAATATCCACACGATCTTGTACAACTCAATCACCGTCAGCGCCCAGATTTTTGGTCTGGGCTGGACGGAGTGCTAAGGGGATACTCGTACTGAAGCGTTTTTCTGGAGCATCTGGCGGCAAATGCAGCCAGATCCAGTTCAGAAGAAAGTCGTAATGTGAGCATGGCGTAAGCTGATTTAACGAGGCGTCAACAACAGGGGTGGGCGGTCGTTCGACATCAGCAAGCCACTTGGAGAGAAGCAGAATGAGCGACCGGTAGGGGATAGTCACTGTGGATTAATCTATATATCTCTCGGTCCGCAGCGGCATTGTCAGGGGCGCGCGGTCAGCTAAGAACTGCCTGCCGACATCACTCACACAGTCGATCGGACGTGTGTGAGTGTCCGAGAGCACTTTGCTGATGGAGCTCAATAGGAAGCCTAGCCAGTTGTGGAACTTGTCACTCAACGATCATTCTAATTATATATATAGAGTACGTACTCAATGTCTGGCAGGCGAGCGAGTTTCCACGTCCTGTATTTTCTAAGCCTGGAAAAGAATACGCTGGCATCTAGGACTTCCGGTGCTGGGGAAGACCCCAAGCCGAGTGCGAGAACTGTTGTGTAAAGATGAAGCAGACGGCCGTAGCGAACAACAAGGCATACTACTTAGTGCTCTCTCTCTCTCTCTCTCTCTCTCTCTCTCTCTCTCTCTCTCTCTCGGTTTCTGTCTGAAAGCTTTCGTTGCTTGCTTTTAGTGGAGTTTATCTCTATGAAGTGTTACTTCTCTCTTTCTAATCTTGTTCTCTCTCCCTCTCTCTCGCTCCCCTCTATTTCTTGTGTTGTCGTCTTCCTCTCTCTCCTCTATCTCTCTCTCTGGTCTCTCTATATGTCTGTGTGAAGTTGTCATCGCATGCCTTTCATCAAGTTCATCTCTGTATAGCGTAATCTCCCTCCCTCCCTCCCTCGCTCTCTCTCACTCTCTCTCTCTCTCTCTCTCTCTCTCTCTCTCTCTCTCTCTCTCTCTCTCTCTCTCTCTCTCTCTCTCTCTCTCTCTCTCTCT